TGTGAGTGAGTGAATGAGTGAGTGAGTGAGTGTGAGAGAGAAAGAGAGAGAGAGAGAGAGAGAGGGAGGGAGAGAGGATAAGAGAAAGAGTCAACGACGAGATGTCGAAAATTAAAGAAAAAAAGAGTGAGAAACGCAAAGGCGAGAGGCATATGCGCTCATGATCCGCCGAGCAAGCGACGCGCGAACGTCCGCGCATGTGTCGTGAGACTTAACTGTATACTTGATTTATTTAAATCATGTGAATAAATTTATAAAGTACGTTACTACTTATCTTCGCAGCGTAATATGCCTGACATTCTCGATTCCTACACACAGAAAAATATTATTCTACTGCTAAGAACGATTACTCACTTTATTTTCCTCCTTTTGGTCGTAATGATTAAGTAATGATTTGCTGGATAATCCATTATCCTTTTATTTATCCTTTAATTATCCTTAAACAAAGAATATTTTCTTGATAATGTCAGTCTTAAAATGTAGTCATGGCAAATTTTAAAGGAGCTCGTTATCACGTAGTCAAGAGAATTTTTCTTCTCTTTGCAAGAATATGATTAAGATTTATCAAAGAAAAAAAGTTGGTTCGACTCTCTATGCAATAAGTAAATTGATTTTTTGTTTTAATTTAATATTCTTGATTAAAAATGCGAATGTTACGAGAGTTACTATTTACTATTTTACTAGTAAGAGTTGCTACTTTACTAGTTACTACTCTGATTAAATTTGACGCTTATGATAATAAGCTTGTGATAGACTTGACATAAACTTGTGAAATACTTGAAACATTCATTCGAATGCAGTGTGTATTTTTCTGCGTGGACGAGTCGAAAAACGACAACAGCGACGATGCCGTTAAAAGTTGAACTCGTTTTAGACGAAACGCGTTCGTTTGCCACAGCACTCGAGACAAGATTCCGCGCGTAACTCGTCGTGTCGTATAATACGAAAAATATTCACAACGTCAGAAGTAGTATACAGTTACGTGGCAAACTTGATGGATTTAATAATCGCGATCCACGATACGAAATTTTAATCATTCACATAGTTCGCGGCAGTAGCAACGCGCTCGGTCTCACGATAACAGATAATACGCTTGGCAACAGAGAATAGAATAATCGCGCAGAGTTTCAACACTAATAATACTCTCTCATTCCTGCACAACAATGACGGCTGAGGACGACAGACCCAAATTGAAGAAAACACTGAAAGAAAGATTTCATTACGCACACAACCCAACTCTAATTATAAATGCACGGAAAATATCAACCTAAGAAAATTTTTTGCGCAATTGCATCCACAAATTGTGAGTTTTACAAACAATTGTACGTTTTGCAAACGTAACGTTGCACTCCGCTCCGAATCATAGCTTCTCTAAAACGGACTCTTCAATCTCATTTAAACCGCAAGAGATTACGTGGAGGATGCAATTTCGTAAGGGCGAACTTATAAGCGAAAACGCAAGGAACATGTGCTGCTCTCGCAGGAAGCGTCTTTTTCTTTGGTGAATCGACGAACGCGCGGAGGAGCCGCTTTTTCCCGCGAATCGAGTTTACGGGCCAAACTCAAATCGATTGAGAGAGAAAGAGAGAAAGATTACGAGAGAAAGAGACAGAGAACTTATTTCCATATGGAAATTTCGCTCTACGATTGGTTAAAATATTCGCGCAAATGCATTATCCGTGCAGGAGGAGGAGGGGGAGGTGCAGCAGCAGCAACAGCAGGAGTAGAAGTGGAGGTGGAGGCAGACGGGGGCGAACGAACGAGCGACGAGTGGTGTGCAACCGTGTTGTTTCCCACATAGCCCGGCTCTCTCTCCCTCTCCCTCTCCCTCCCTCTCTCTCTCTCTCTCTCTCTCTCTCTCTCTCTCTTTGCCTCTCACTTACTCTCTGTCGTTACCTATATATCGCGGCGCGCGGCCGCGTAGCGGCTATATAGATCGCGAACGGAACATTGATCCTAGTCAGCGGCGCCGCGCACTCACTGCACACCATCTGCACACTTACATTATTAATGCGCCTACGACCGCTACCGCGTGGGGGCGGGAAGGGATTCAGTACCCGCGGGGGACGTATGTTTCTCCGTTGTTTGCGAAATCTTTCCGCGGCCGAGTGTGTAAACAACAACGGAAATGTCCCGCGCGCGTACGCGACGGTTCGGCTCGAGCGCACTCGGGAGAGATTCGCGACGTGATTCGCATTTTCGTCGACATCACTGAGTTCTATGCAGAAAGAGAAAGAGAGAGAGAGACAGAGAAAAGGAGAGAGACAGACAAAGAAAAAAAGAAAGAAAATGAGAATGAGAAGGGAAGGAGTTTTCGATTCATAGATGCTCTCATCATGGAATTCGACCGAAAATCGAGTTCAAAATACAATTGCTCGTTACAATTTATCGTAATTCTCAAGTTACGGTACATACGTATCCTGACATATCAAACATCCGGGTTTTATAAACTGGCATGTAATGTATTCATATTTAAACTCGGAGTAAATATTCAAAAAAGATCACACCTCACCGATATTTTTAAAATTAATGTATATTGTAGAAAAAATAGTTGAAAATGATTTTCAGCAAAAGTCAAGTGGGGGACAACATTAGTTGTCAAGATATAAATGAAATTTAAAATTTTGATGCTTTTATCTAGATATAAACTGATGTTGCGAATAATATACAACTAATATATGCTATATTAATCTGTTGCTCTTCTAACTGGAAAAAATCATTGTTTATATTTTTCTTAAGAATGGCTTTCATGTTATTAGTTTTCTATCTGTTTCTGACAATATTTAAACTACTTTCAATGTACGATCATACAAACTGCTTTATTGTATGTATTATATTTGCATATCAAAAACATTTTGTTGTTGCTAAAATCTTTCGCGTTACTAGATTAATGAGTTTATCGTATAATAAAATGACAGACCTTGAAAATATTAGCGCAAACTCTTACATAAAGTTTGAGTATAAGAGAAATGACATTATTAAAATATTTCTTTATAAATATCGCTATACATCTAAATTCAAACCTTAGGAGCTTTTGCTAACCTTTATAGGATATGTTATTTTATGTTAATATATGCGATAGAGAGTTATCAATTTAGTAAGCATAAGATTGAAATAATATTTTCACAGAATGCAAACCTTGCATAAGGATTTAAGGATTTGCTAATCTGTTTAGAATTTGCTATTTTAGTATACATTGAAGATAAATCTTCCTTTCGTTACTTTTATTCGTTTGTCCTATAATATACTCACAAAAACTGACTCATACAAACGTACTGTTTACAATAGTAACTTATTAAGTCTCAGAGAAAGCATAAAAATTGCCAAGTTCATTTAATATTTCGATAACTAATGTCGCCCCTCAGCTGGTTTCTAGAAATCACTTTAACTATGTTGCCTACAATATATCTCAAATCAAAAAGATTCGGCTATGACTTTATCTGATATTTAGATTTGAATTCGGAGATAGATGAGAGTTTTTCAGTTGACTCGCGATTACAGACAAAAGTGTCACATATATTATATTTCAGTTGCAAAACTTAAATCTAACTCTAAATAAAGATCTGAGTACCTCACGTGAAACAAGTTTCCTCTGATGAGTAACTATTAATATGGACTAAAGTAGCGTATAGAGAAACACAGTGAAGTCTCTCA